GTTTTACCAGCTTTTATTATGTTTCACCTTGCAATAAATTTTTAACCGTCTTCCCATGAGCTAGAGATTTGAAACTTCAAACTTAGCTCAGCGCCCGATGATAGTGCAATATGAAAGATGAAGTAATCCGCTAGGTGGCACAGGTGTCGAGATATTTGAAAATCCCGTATTTACGGTGCGATATGGTTCATATTTGGAATGCAGATTTCTTACACTAACTACACAAAAAATTTGCCCGATTACTGGCGCAGGAGACTAGATATTTGTAAACCACGTATTTCTTGTGTGATTCGGTTTGTATTTAAAATGTATATTACTTACATGAAAAGGAATAGCCCCACAAATATTTTGCCCGATAGGTGGCGCAGGAGTCGAGATACTCCGCCCTATGTTGAATATCGCCATCGTCAGTAAAAGTGACGATACGGCCATCGTCAGCCATGTTCCACGAAAAATTTATCAGTTAGGTGGTACGGGGGTCGACTTTTCTTTTTTATATTTACCACTAATAAAAGCTTGGCTTAAAAAACTGTTTTTAATTCACTTTTAATATTTCAGTATGAACGAAAAAATTTAATTCCATAAGTGTAATCAATTTTTTTAATGAATTATATAAATTCCTGTTATAAAAAAATTGGTAAAATCCAATTGAAAAATTGCATGTCTTGAATTAATAATAAATAGTAACTTAAGAATTTAAATATTTTTTCTTTTCAATTAGGATGACGATGATGGACATCTAGTTGTGCTTAATATCATTGAAGAGTTGATGAGTAAAACACAGGATGAGTTCTTGGATCATTTTGCTCGTCTTGGCGTATTTTCGAAAGTGCAGGCTCTTATGGAGCCCGAAAATGAATCAACTGATACAACAACCGCAAGCAGCGCAGTGGTGCACTTAACAGCTGGTGCAATCACCGCTAGCAGTGCGGATGATCAGCAACTTCAGAGTAGCAGCAGTGGTATAACCAGTTCAACACAACAATTGCAACAACAAACCACAACTTCAACTACAACTACAGGTACTTAAAAATGAGCTGTATGTTCAGAATATGTGCGTTGTGCCATATATCACAAGCTTTATGAATTGCAGCATAACGCAGTTGCTTGCGTTATTGAAAAAATTATGTTTTTGCAGTGCAATTTTAAAGTTACACGATGATTGTATTTAAATCTAAAATATCAAGTTTTAAAATTTGAAATCTGACAGCAACCACAAATTACTATCTTTCTAATGAAATTTATGTATGTTGTGTGTCTTAACAGAATACTAATTTTTGATTGTTGTACATTTTACTTCACAGAAGATGCTATGGAGGATGCTAAGGAAATACTACAAGGCAAGGCATACCATTGGCACGAGTGGAGCATCTGTCGTGGGCGCGATTGTTTGTATGTGTGGTCAGACTCGGCAGCATTGGAGCTCTCGAATGGTTCAAATGGCTGGTTTCGCTTTATACTCGACGGCAAGTTGGCTACAATGTATTCTAGTGGAAGTCCTGAAAACGGCAATGACAGTTCAGGTAAGTGAATGTTACATACATATGTAGATATGTAGGTATGTATATTTAAGTTGGGAACGAATGAGGTACACGCTTAGTTAAAAATTTTAAATATTTTTTTCTAGTGTGTGCGTTTGGTAAGCACTAATCGTTAATTGAAAGTTTGCTCACAATGTGACTAGAAAATAAAATAAAAAAATTCCATGCATGGGCGTAATTGTAATCTAATGTACCTTGGAACATAATTTTATCCCAGCATTTAACTGTTTCCTTTTAATTATCTCATTTCTATTTTCTTACACTTTGTTTATACGTGCGAAAACATTTAAAAACTAAATTAAGAAAATTTTCGGTAGCGATTTTTTCGGCTTCAGCTTCGTTTTCAGCCGCATTGAACTATGACTTTTTTATATCCATATAACACTAGGCTGTATAGATTTATCATTTAATTTCAATTCATTAAAAAACAATACACCTGTGTTTTTACGTCGTAGGAAGGGGTCGTGACATGGATTCTGTTACTAGTGAAGGTGAGAGAAATATATCTTACTTTTTTCATTTATTTACGCTCCTCATTTCTCGTTTAGCTTTGCTATTTTGTTTTGTTGATTTTGTTTTGCGTTGCATTAAAATTTTGTTAGTGTGTCTCGTAAATTATTTGGTTGACCTATAACTAATTAATTCGTTCCAATTATTTTTTGTCGTATATATTAACTTATTATATATAGACATTTTTACTACTTATTTAAGTTTCTAAACGCATTAAAAGCAGTTTGCAAATATTCACTCTCACAACTAGTTATTGATACAAATTGGCTACAACTTGCAGTTTTATTCATAGAACACATTACTAATTGATTAATGCCTTAAATGCTTCACAATCAGAATGTCCCTATCATTCATGCAGCATACATACTAAATTAACGAAAGTCCTGCCTCATGCTGTGGGACAAAGTTATACAAAAAGTAAATAAATCTTTGTTTTATTCTTGAAAAGAAATTGGGGCCAGAAGGTTTTTTGCCAATTTTGTGTTTTTTTTTTTTAATCTAAATCATTATATTTTATGATTTTACTTTTTACGACAACGCTTGTTTGTCTTTTCTGGGTTTTAATTTCTTTTTGATCATACATACATACATATGTACGTATGTGATTAAAAAATTGAATATCGATTAATTAAGTCCAAGAATAACCATTATATGCGAACTAAAAAAATTAGACTATGCTCTTTTTTCAATCAAATATGTATGTGTAGCCATTATTAGGTTTTTTCTATTGTTTAATCTAGTTTTCGACCGCAGTGGCGCTGAGTGGTTGGAAGTGGGTACTACCACTCGTGATTCGATCTATGGCGCCATCTAAATTAGAAAAACGTTTTTGCAGGCAATGGCAAATCTCCGAGTGTATAGAAAAAGCTTCTCGTAAAATCCATTTTCAGTTCGGCAGGTACTTGGGCTTGATCCTTGACCGCAGGCTTTCCTGGAAAACTAGCATAGAGGAAAGAGTCAAGAACGCCATATATTATTGTAGAGGGGCCATTGGCCTGCGCTGGCCTCTCTCGCCGAAGGTTAATCATTGGCTTTATTAATTAATTAATCCCAATGGCTTTACCCTGCTTTCCCGCTCAACCGACACGAGGGCCGCAGTCCGCATGACGTACGCGACTTTTTTTTTGTGCCGAGTCGTGGAAACAGAAGTTTGTTAAGTGTCGAGATCTAAAACTATTCAGCTACAGAATCAAAATTCATCAGCTGATTGGATATGCTAAAGATAATAATAATAATAATAGATTGGCGCTTACACATATGTTAGTGTTTGGCCGAGCTTCTCCTCCGATTTGTGGTGTGCGCCTTGATGTTGTCACACAAAGCGGAGGGACCTACAGTTTTACGCCGACTCCGAACGGCGATTGTATTTTTATGAGAAGCTGTTTTTCATGGCAGAAATACACTCGGAAGTTTGCCATTGCCTGCCGAGGGACGACCGCTGTTAAGAAAAAACCTTTTTTCTATATTTTTTGCGACGTTGCTTTGACCAGGGTTTGAACCCAGGCGTTGCGGAGTGGAAGCGCGCACTGCTTACCACTACACCACAGCGGCTAAAGATAGTATTTCAATTATTGAGAGAGGGAATCGGCTGCTGAGTGGAAGATCGACCTATCTCGGCAGCCAGTTCGAAAACGCTCTATCTCAAAAAAACTTTTCAAGAACTCCGTATTTCAGATTTTTTTTTTCATCGAAATTTTGTCTATGCTTCTCGCAACTTGCTTAAAAATCCTCTGTCGCTATGTTCATTTACGCTAACCACTGAAACTGCCCATATCCGAAGCGGGAGTTTTCCAATGCTATTCGCGTCTACGCTTCATATGTACATATGTTTATGTTGGGGAGAAATAGATAGTATAGCAACAAAATAATGTAGTATGTATTTATATATATAAACATGCGAACATCTTTGGTACTTAAACCTCTAACGTTTTGACAGTAAATACTTAAAGTTGACTTCAGAACTAGTTTTCTAAATCAGAATTAAGATTAGAAATTTTAGCTACGTTATTATTACTTTTATTAGGTTTATATGTAGTCAAACTCGCGAACAAACGCCCCGTTAGGCCCAAATTAATTATTAAACAGATTATTAAAAGACGAAATATCGCGATGGTATTTTAAATTAAATTTACGAATAAATACATCTTTAGTTTTAATTTTAGTCGATATGTATGACTTTATATCATCCGAAGAAGTGTCTAAAGCAAATCTAGAGACAAAGATTGATCTTCTCGGAGGAATTATAATCAACTTTTTGGTAATGATGTCTGATATGCGGGATTCCGTGTTATTCGGAGGAACTATGTTAGACAGTGCAGCTTCAGATGTTGATGGCAACACTGTTAAATCAACGGTTTGATTGACGTTGTTATTTTTAGATATAGACCTAGTGGATATAGCTTTAGATATCGGAGGCTCCAATGCCTGAGAGCATGACAAGACTTATAAATCCCAAGGACTGGGATGGAGGATTTTTCTGAGTAGACTATTTTTTTTTTAGGTGGACACTAACACGCCTACATTTATTTTCTCGGCTGTCCTCAGAGTGTAGAGGGTTGTCGAGACATGTGAAAGACTTAAAATTTTTTCATAATGCTTAAATTTCTCCCAAGCACCAACTTCGGTGGATCTACATTTTTGACAAGACCAGCGAAGACCCTTTCCCTCATTAATAGCGTCTAAAACCCTACCGCTCAAACCAGCACATTTGATATAGGTAATCTCATCGCAGAGCCAGCATGACACGTGGGAGTCGCTTTTAACGTGGCAATTGGTGTAAATACACGACATGTTTAAAATGATATTTATTTATTGGTTTTAGGTTTATATAAAATACTAGAAGCAAACAAGCTAACAAGTTGTGAAAACGATGTATCAGAGAACCAATCAGCTGGTAAATATCAGTTTGAAAGCTATGTGACGGAACAGTTTTAAATACACTGTATTTTGACACTTAATAAACACAACGCAAACAGCTGTGACAATGATGAAACAACAGAAATGACAAAAAGACAAAAAGAACGAACTCAAAACAATTGTAGTTATGGATAAACAAAATCAATTGACAATAACAAAATATTATATGCAACATAATACTCGGCATATGCAATTAAGAATATTAAGTTACATTAATTAAATTTACAAATGCACCAGACATTTATTCAAAATTTTTTTTTAAGTTTTTACTTTATTAAACGTAAACAGCTTTATAAAACACGAAATTGAAACACAGCTTCACAGCTTTGACCTTTGCGTTCATGAAACGATAATTAAGCCAATTTTATTGTGTGGCGTACTCGTCTGGCGGAACGCACTTGACGAGGCTGTTATCGTCAAGCCGCTGAAAAGAGTGGAAATAGCTGCCTTAATGGGAATCAGTAGGGCACTCCTACTCCGGCTATAATAAATGTTGTACCCATTGATATAGCAGGCAGAGCTGCCGCTGCGCGCTCCTCAGAAAGGCTAAAGGGGTGGGCTTTGAGTATTCAAAAAAGTTCGACAAACATTATCCTTTAATATCCTTGAAATTTTCCAATACATGTATATCTAAAAAAATATAATGTTTAGGACTAATATGCACATGATATCCT